ATTGAGGCCGCCGTAGTACGAGGCATTAAACTGTTTGACGCCCAGGTATTCATCTCTCGTGTCGTTAAACAACTTCTCCTCGAGGCAGCCGATGACGACACGTTCCTCCCAGAGGAAGAACTTGTTGGCGAACATTTCAACGGCTGCTCCAAGACGAGGCAGGTCACCTGGAAGACAGACGGTCCGGAAATGAAGTTAGGAATGATCACACAAACACCACCATTAGGTTGGAGTTCAGATCTCATGCAAAAAAACCTAATATATTATTATGATGTTCAGCTGTAACTTTGGTCCATGACTTGAACATGGTGTAATCAATTAAAATCAACAACCTTTCTATTGTAGATTTTAAAAATAAAAATATGGCCAAGTAACATTAATCCATTGTAAATCTAATAGTTTTACTCTCAAAATTTTCAACACAACAGCTCATCAATATTTTTTTTATCCAACTCTATGTTCCAGGCCTTTAAAAGAAATCTCTACGTTTCCAGGGTATTTGATTCTCTCTCAGTGCCTAGACTATTTGATCCCATCTCTATGTTTCCAGGCTATTTGATTCTCTCTCAGTGCCTAGAATATTTGATCCAATCTCTATGGATCCAGGCTATTTGATTCTCTCTCAGTGCCTAGAATATTTGATCCCATCTCCATGTTTCCAGGCTATTTAATCCCATCTCCATTTTTACAGACTATTAGATCCCATCTCTATGTTTCAAGGCCATATGTCCTAACTATATGTTTCTAGGATATTTAATCCCATCTCTATATTTTCAGGCTGTAAAAAAAAAAATCCAATCTCTATGTTTCTAAGCTATTTGTCTACACTTTATGTTTCCTTACTATTTGATCCCATCTCTATGTTTTCAGGCTTTTTTTTAATTCAATCTTCATGTTTCCACGCTATTCGCACACGGGTTCGCAAAATGAAAGACCCTTAGTGTTCACAGAGAAACATTGGTTTTAAAAACACTAAATGACAATTTTGAAAAAAATCCATTCACTTTTTCGAGTTTCTTGAATTTGTTTTAATTTGTTGTTTTTTTAAAAATTAAACCTACTTTTACTAGAATAATGTAATAGCCATCAGGGGAAGTTCAGTTTCAGTAGTTATTTATTGAATGAGTAAGTCTTTGGCATTTCACACCCCCCACACAGTCAGGTAAAACTTATTGAACTCACCTAAACCAAGAATACAGATGTCTCTGACTAAATGCCCTGCACATAAATGTTTGGAATGCTTCCAGAGCTTGTACCTAGATATTTATTTATTTATTTAGGCATTTTTATATAGCGCTTATCATAAAGCTCTAAGCGCTTTACAATTATTAAAACATGTAAACTAAGTAAAATAAAAATGAGACACTAGGATAGTAACTACTATTCTATAGAAACAATGAAAATGGCTATAAAACGAGGACACTTTGACACTTCAGGATCAACCCGAAACAGAAAATGAGGTAGGGCAAGGAGGGTGCATCACAGGTCATAGGCGGACCTAAACAGATGAGTTTTAAGGGACTTTTTGAAACTGGACGAGGTTTCACTATGACGTATATGGAAGGGGAGCTGGTTCCAGAACGTGGGCCCATGGAAGCAGAAGGAGCGTTCACCGATGGTCTTAGTTTTAGTTCTTGGGATTGAGAGGGTTCTACTGTCAATGGAAGAACGTAGTTGTCTTGTGGGGATGTAAGGAAGCAACAGATCAGAGAGATAGACAGGAAAGTGAGGATCAGTGAACGAGTTGAAGCAAAGATAAATGGGCCCATCTTTTCAGGATCACCTGAAATCAAGCCAAACATATTTTTTTGGCAATAAGATTTATTGGCATTGTTAAGTCGTTAAAAGTTCCATCAGACTGGTAAGAAATGTTTTCTACAGCTAATTCAACCTATAATAAAATGCGCGAAACCTCTGCAACCGAACAGAGGGTCGCCACTCATGATTTGCTAGAGACAAGTGTAGGTTTTAGAACTTCAGTGCTACAGTAACCAAAACACAGCATCGTTTTCAATTGCCAGGACTCCGGTGACCATACAATACCTTAGGAGTTTAGATTGTCACTTCCCCTTGTGTCCATATGTATGGGGAGTATTGGGCGAGGACAGTATAAGTAGGGTTATAGGTTGTGATGGAGTTTGAGATTGTAGTAGATGCTATGATAAAGGAGGTGTAGCCCGGGGGGGGGGGAGAACGACAAATTGGTGTAGTTTTAATGTCGTTGTATGCGGAGGAGATATTTTGTTCAAAGAAACAAGGACGAACACCCAATGCGATTTTAAAAAAGGGACTAACGCATTACACATAAAAATATTCTATACTTAGAAATAATAAATACAAATTTAATAGGAATAATTTCAACTCACATTATTTTATAAAATTATTCAATTTTAAAACGAAAGTGAATTTCCAAACCTTTGAAGGAGCCTTTGACTTCCAGCTGAGGGTTAAAATTTCATGTCGTGAAGAACGTTTCATCAGGGATTTTCGTTCTTTTCGTCCATTCTAAGAGCGCTTCCGCCGTATCATTGTGTAGCATGTAATCAACAAAGTCTCTGCAATAAATTTTAATTTTGTATTTTTGTAGAATGTTTTTAAATTAAAGATATCTAATATGCCTAATAAACCAAGGTTTTTGGTGTGAAGAATTTTTAAGTCTTTTTACTGTTAAAAATGAGAACTAACGGATACATTTTTTAAAACTATTTAAAGAAGAAGAATGAAGGAAAGAAATACAGGGAAATTTAGGATCACTAGTAGGAGAATATTTAATGAGTTACATATTGTGATATTGTGCCGAAATGCTGAGTTCATTTATTTTCTATTCAAACCTGCTCTGGTGTGTTGGTTCAGGAAATCATTGCTGCGATGGATACATCTAGTATCCTTAATGTTTATCTCCGTTGAAAAGGGATGAGAACAGGGATTATTTACCCTGATTAATATCACGAAGATGTTCGGTGAACCTATCTGATAATCTTCTACAATTTCTAATTATATAACATGAGCGACACAGCACACCATTGCATATATCATAATGTGACTAACAGATGTGGAGCCCTATTACATAGTACAAGTACCTTTATGGAGGCTAATGATTTTGGTTCGGAGTGTATAGGGACCAGTCCTACAAAAGGCTTTTGAGAATGGTATAGTCCCAACGTAAGACGGGTCAGCTCGAAGGCGAATGTGAACCAGAAGGTCCCATAGATTTATGTCCCTTCTGAAGAAGACAATGAGTGGAGGGAATGAGAATATCCTGTCGATGTCGGGGTTGGAGAGAAACATGTGTCGATTCTTTGTAAATATATTTCAAGCAATCAACGTTTGATGGTTCTAAGTTAGAATGCAATTTTCCAATCTTCGTTTCTGTTTTGACGTTGTTTGAAAGCATCCTTCTGTGAGATAGTGCGTGTACGATTGAGTGCAGAGACGAGAGTAGTTTCAGGATACAATCTAAAGCGGAAGGACTCCATCATTTTATTAGCCCTATATTTAAAGTCTTCATCAAGTTGACAGAGGCTACGTAGTCTGTTAAGTTGTGAGAAAAGTAGAGAGTAATTGGATATATTTGGGGTGGATGATGAGTACATTAGGTAACTATGGCTGTCAGTGAGTTTGTAGTAGACAGTTGTGATTAATCTGATTTTTTCAATATTATGGTAAATTCAGTAACTTAAACAAATTCCCTAGGTTTGGGAAGTACATTTTATGGGTGAATAGAATGTGTTAAAGAAATCAATTTTTTTTTTTTGAGTTAATTTTTTTTCCATGGTGAGGATGCCAACGCCGTCATCAATGTATAACTTATAAAATTCCGGCCTACGTCCAGTAAACGCCACGACTTGTGTCAAAGAAATGACCATCGAATTCAAAAGCGTTAAGGGTGAGTACCGGTTCAGCCGATCGGATACTGGCGTCCGTATCTGTGTATACAGGTTAACAAGTCACAATAAAACATTACATGACAAATATGTGTGGCTGCTCGGCACAGTCTGAATAACACGCGACTTTACAATATATGCACGTGATGGCACAATTCAGAGGTCTTCTTTATCTTTGTCTTATTAACTCCAAGTGGAAGATAGGCCATTAAAAATTCTTTCCATACCTTATGGACACTTGGTTTTTCTCTACCGCTTTCCAAATCTTTTCTGTCTTTATTACATCTTTGTCCAAAACCGTTCGCAAGCACTGTTCCACCCAGGCTTCTACTTGACATGTTTAAAAGAAAGAGGAACCTTAACTGTGTAAATGCGTTCAATGTGACAGTAGAGGATGCAAAAAAAAGAGTATATTTTTTGCTCCCATGGGTGTTGTAGAGATGAAAAAAAGGTGAAGAGACGTACGCAGTACACAATTATCAAATCTATATTTATGACCTGCTAAGGACACTGATTGATTTACTTTGAAATGCTGAAAATTATTTTAACGCACGCACTAAAATCGTCTACACTCTTCAGCCTTTACAAACCTTACCATTTTTAGATGGGAGGTAGATACAAATTTAGAGCGGCCATCTGATGATATTTATCTTATGAGATTAATCTTGTATTTTTTTTTATAGAAAAGAAAGTCACTGGCGGAATTAAGAAATATCTGTAGATGTAAATATAATTATAAATATCATTAACATATTCAGTTTAAGTGAATGTTTGAGGGATAATGAAACGATCACAGAAATCGGGTTGAAGTGAAAGTAAGTGAAGCAATACGGTTTTTACCTCAAACAAATGTACGGCTCTCATTTCTATCTCAACCTTCCCAGATTTCAGATCGAAAAATAATATCTTTGAACAACTGATTATGATTAGATTTTAACGTGATAAGAAAGGTAGACATGATGCCAAATAGCCTGTTACTTACTCTTTTATAGTTCCGTTGATGCTGTTAGCCCCCTTGAAAGCTTCTAAGATCTTCACCAGTTCAAAGTTCGTCTTCAGCGGGAACTCCTGGCCCGTCAGGTTGATGAAATATTTCCACTTCCTGTAGCGCCAAAGTTCCTTCATGCAGACGAGCTCAGACTCTAGCACCGTGAATGTACCCCATTTGACGTCAACCCTCTTGTTAGATAATAACACGTTAGGGAAACATTGAGCTATGGCCGCCATGGCCTTGTGGAAGCTTTCGGTCGCCTTGAGGTCCACATGTATGCAATAGTAGTTTTGTGGTCTGTAGACGGCCCGCAGCAGCCGTTCCACCATTTCGGAATCTTTGTACACGACTAAAGAATACGCAATGGGGAAGTTTTGCTCCTCGTCTGTTAATGATGACATGACATAACCGCGACTCACTTGAAAATCATCGCAGTCGGTTGTGGCATTTATATAAAAGTCATCTGTTAAAACACTACCGACTGTGGTCTTTACTTGTCTGGCATCATTTGATGCGTTATTATCGCCTTGGAAGAGTGCGGCGCAGTCTACTTCAGTTACTTGGTACAATTGCGCCGGTGTCCGGTCAAAATAATTTTTATGCGCTTCCTTGGTTAACCTCTCGGGATTAATATTGCTGATATAAGACTCCCATAGCCATTCCCTGGAGTTCCTTAAAGACAGGGTCAAGTACAGGGCCCCTGATGTAAACAATACAACAGTAAAAACGCAGATTTTGGACGTTCTTGACGTGACGCTACCTTGTAAGGTGGATCCAAGGAGCACCATTTTTCATAAACTATATTGAAATCTTTATCGTTTACGAGAGAGTAATATCTTCAGTGACTGTATTGGAGAATGGTGTCAGATTGGAGTCAATTCTTGTGTGTGACATGACTCTGAGACTTTCATCAAATATGTACTGCTGTGCAATCTATACTATGAGGAAGACCGTAAACAAGTTTTACGATCTTCCGCATTGGTATAGTAGAGTCTGTAATTTAAAAAATAATTTTAAACCTGCACTATTTTTCAGTGATTTGGTATCAAGTTTCATGTGAACTTACTTAGGTTCCATAATTATATTTTAAAAAAATAATAAAGGGGCCCATCAATTTTTATTTCATGCAAATAAAAATTACAAGATGATCTTTAAAATGGATTTAATGACTATTCAGTATTCTGGTGCAATTGGCTAGCAGAATTATACTATTCAAATAACAGGAAATAGCATTGAAAAATCTTGAGGATCTTTGGAGCATTGAATACATGAGCGACAGCATTTTCGAACATGGACATCATGCTGACATAATATAGCAGTGTGACCACAGAAAAAGATCCAAAAAACTCACTGCTAGTTGCTTTAACTTCATTTCACACTAGACTACATGACTATTATGAGTACTAAAAATGAATTGCACACCTTACATCAAACGTGTTAAGAAAGCAATTAGAAACATATTAGAATGCTGCTCTTCTTTTAAGAATTTTTTTTCAAAAATGTTGAATTTCAAAGTATCAAATTATAATGAAAACTTTGTGTCCAATTTGCGTTTAAGTGTCCACTGACTATGGTGCAAATTTTTTTTTGTCATGTAGGCCATAGAAGCGTAAGCACTAGTCTGCATGTGATTTCCTTTGGCTTACGAGCCACTTGGCATGTCCAAAACCAAAATATGGTCCTCGTTCTGCAAGGTTTGAGCACGTCCCCTTGCACATGATGGGGAAAGTATCATAAAGTATCGTGGGAATTATTTGCAGACGGAAGCGATATTTTTGTGGCCTTACGTAGCCAATCCAAGATAAATAAATACATTGAAGCCCTTAAAAAGAATGTTTGAATAGGACGCTCTTTGGCATTTCTTAGTCGTAACCCTTCATTTTAACAACATGTAAAAAAATCTGAATTACCACCTCAACACTTTTACAACATTTTTAAAAAAAAATATTATTTTGCTTATTTTATGTTTATGGCTCAAAATATTTTTATAAGAAACACTGAAGGTGTTTTTAAATCCTTTATATTATTAACTTCGACTTTATTCATGGCTGGGTGACAAAATCTTTGGACAGTTAATTGACTCTCTTCGCTTCAACCAATCGAGCTGAAACATGGCACAAAGACTTGTTGCCAAATAAACACCAACATATTTGTAAAATTTTCAGCCCCACCCCAAACACAACACCCACTCCATCACCCCTTTTCAAGAAAAAGAAGTAAATATGATGTCACAGATTTCACGAAATAAAATTCCCGACAACTGAGCAAAATGAGATGTTAATAAAAGTGTCGCAAGTGCGTTTGGTGCGCATTATTTTCATTCTTTTCTGAAATGTTTATTAAAATAAATCTTGGGTCTAAAAGTGGGTGGGTCATTGGAATATTTGTATATTTCAGGGGCGCGTAAAAATGTCCCGTTGCTAGCCTTCGCGGCGGGGGGGGGGTGCTCATTGGAAATGTAATCTTTGTTACTTAAATGATTATTTCCTTAAAATTTCACCCCCCCCCCCTTTAGCTCTTTTGAGCTGTAAACATTACACATTTCCCCAAAAAAGTAAAAATTTATGTTCAACTATTTGCTTTAAAGCACATACGAACAGAACCGTTAACCATCACTTCGCTCTATATCACGCGTCAGAACACTCACAATCAATAATAATAATATTACCTGGGAAATAAATGAAATGTAAAAAAATCTGTTGAATGTCATCTGCTGTAACTTAGTAGGGTTGCAATGTGAGATCTCTTGTCTTGGTTACAGGGTCTCGAATAGGTGAATGACCCCTCCTTCAATTGATCGGTTTGGGTGATGCTGACCGGTAGAGCGTGGTTAAATGTTCCGCGCATGGTTGAACTTCCGCGACAGCGCTTTGACCCTGTTAACGACCTTGCCCTGTGGTCTCAGCGTCGTCACCCGAGATGGCATTTCCCAAAGATCTTCTTTTCTTGATCGTGACGCGGTTATTTTATACTTATCATTCGAGACCTAGTAACATTTGTAGATATCGCTTCTGGCACAGAAGTAAAAAAAAAATATAAAGCAGATTAAAATTTTAATAAAGCTTTTTTTTTTTTTTTATATTTTAATAAAGCAATGAATTTACTCCTAAATTAAAAAAATAAAAAAAAAAATTAAATAAATTTATTAAAATTAAAATTTTAATAAAGTTTTTTTTTTTTTTTTTATATTTTAATAAAGCAATGCATTTACTCCTAAATTAAAAAAATAAAAAAAATAATTTAATACATTTATTAAAGCCATGGTGGTTACTGTCGTCATTAATAATAACTAGGCTGTTCTTTAAAAAAATAAAACTAGGAGAAATTAGAATCAATTTGAGCGTTTCGGAGGGTAAAAACCATAAAAAAAAAATAGAATCAAAATTTAAAAAAACTATAAAAAAAACCACAAAACACGCTAGAAAACAAAATAGTGCAATAATTTTTTAACAACACGGTAACTTGTTCGCTTTCATGGCCAGAAACACGGTGGCGACATGGTATCGGGGAAACACGTCTATAGAATCACCCAAAACAAAAACAAAAAACAATAACAATAAACAATAACAAAAAACGATAACAAAAACCAATAACAAAAACCAATAACAAAAAACAATAACAAAAAACAATACCACAAAAAACAATAACAATAAACAATTAAAAAAAAACAATAACAAAAAACAATAACAAAAACCAATAACAAAAAACAATAATAAAAAAATATAACAAAAAACAATAACAAAAAACAATAACAAAAACCAATAACAAAAAACAATAACAAAAAACAATAACAAAAACCAATAACAAAAAACAATAACAAAAAAATATAACAAAAACAATAACAAATAACAATAACAAAAACCAATAACAAAAACAATAACAAAAAACAATAACAAAAACCAATAACAAAAACACAATAACAAAAAACAATAACAAAAACCAATAACAAAAACCAATAACAAAAAACAATAACAAAAACAAAAACCAATAACAAAAAAAAAAAAAAAAAAAAAAAAAAAAAAAAAAAAAAAAAAAAAAAAAAAATTTTTTTTTTTTTTTTTTTTTTTTTTTTTTTTTTTTTTTTTTTTTTTTTTTAAAAAAAAAAAAAAAAAAAAAAAAAAAAAAAAAAAAAAAAAAAAAAAAAAAAAAAAAAAAGAACCTTTGAAGCCGTAACCAAAATTTTATAAAATCATAACTAGGAAAACAATTCAGTTTGGTTAATTTTACCATATTTAATTAACTTGATTTTAAAGAAATATAAATAGATACTAACTATGAAAAACAATGCGGACAAAATATTGATCAAAACAGCATTTGTCGAGGGTATAAGAAACTCTTTTGTTAGTATGTACGATTTTTGGTTCATGAGTTGTGTCATAATTTGTATTATTGTGGATAGATGGTCATCATTGGGAGAGAGAAAAAAAGCATAATTATCAAGTGTTTGAATGTGATGTGTGAGATGGAGAGAGTTCATGGGAGTGATTACGGAGAGAGTTCATGGGAGGGATTACTGAGAGAGTTCATGGGAGGGATTACAGAGAGAGTTCATGGGAGTGATTACGGAGAGAGTTCATGGGAGTGATTACGGAGAGAGTTCATGGGAGTGATTACGGAGAGAGTTCATGGGAGTGATTACGGAGAGAGTTCATGGGAGGGATTACGGAGAGAGTTCATGGGAGTGATTACGGAGAGAGTTCATGGGAGTGATTACGGAGAGAGTTCATGGGAGTGATTACGGGGAGAGTTCATGTGAAAGTTATTGAGATGGAGATGATGCTTATTAAACAGTGTTTTCTGCTGAGGATATTTTACAACGAGGTGGATCTGTGTAACAGATACGTAGAATAAAATGTAGCCATATTATTTCATGAAGTGCTGTTTTCTTATACAGGCGTGATTGGTTCTTAGTGCATTGTGTGACATTGTTTGACAGTATTTAAGTGCACCATAAACAACGTTGCCAGAAATATTCTAAGAGTCTCGACTAGAGAAACAGAATATTTTGACATAAGGTCCGAAGTATCATATCCCTGGGTAAAGTATCTTGGTCCGTCCGAAGTTGTGAAGTATTTTAGCCCGGCTGTCCGAAGTTGAGATTTATGAAATCGCTATATGAAGTGATCGGCTGAAGCTGTGTCTGTGTCCTGTCATTCGGTTTGTGAGGCCGACCAAGTCTTTAGAACTGAACCCTGAATGTAGTAAATCCTAGACCTGTACATTATTGGGGATTGAAAATACTGTCCAGGGTTAGTATCTTAACGGAAATTTTCAACGTGAGCTCGCTGGTTTTAAACACGGGAGCTGTGATCCTCTATATACGTCGTAAGCCATGTTTTTGTGATCGCCTGGATGTCGTTAAGATGTGTTTATGTTAAAACCCCTGTATCTTGACCACTGT